CTCCTTGGAGATAGCAGCACAAATCCCATCCCCCCGGGCGGGGACAGGAAATTAAGCTCTAAAGCCCCTTCTTCTGCTCTCGGCCATTCTTCAGCCGCTGGCAGCCCCGACTCGCTCCTGGCAGCTCCCCCCGCCGCCCCCTCCCCTCGCCCAGCGCCAGCTCCGCATCCTTCCTCCCTCCGCGAGGAGGGTGATGGGGAGCAGCAGGACTGGAGCCAGACCCCTCATCACTCCTGGGATGCTCCTGCCATCACAGACGGTGGAATTAAAGCCGATCCTCACCGTGCCGAGGCCGCAGGCCGGCATGGAGTGACACGGACAGTGTCATTCCCCCCACGATGATCTGTGGCTTAGTCATGGCCCTAAGGAGCTCAATGCTCCCAAAGGACCTGCCAGGGGTGGGAAGCAGCGCTGGCTCTGTGGTACCCACACAGGGAGTCTCTCCCAGCCTTAGAGGAGATGAACCTTCTCCCATGGAATTTGAAGGCTCAGCATCAGTTTGGTGACACAGCTGAACCCCTTGTACAGCCTCAGCTGCCCAGATCGGGTCCAGGTGAGCCAACCTGAGCCACCTTGAGCCAGCAGCATCCCTGGCTGCATCCACAGGGATGGCTGGATGTCACCACCCTGCTGTGCTCTCCTCCAGGCACGGCACTGCGTTCAGACCTGGCTGCAAGGCACTGGGTGACCTGGTGGGAAATTATTTGATATAAACTGGAGTAAAGGGGGAAAAAACATGAGTTAATCCAGGCTGGGCAGGCTCATCCTTGGAGCTCTCAGGACCCAAAGCTATGAGCCCCCTGCTTCCTCCCCATCCCTTCTGAAAGGCTCACACAATCTGGGAGGAGTAAAATCACCAGGAAAGCCCAAGAAAAGGCTTCTGTGCTGACCTTTATTTCCTGGCAGTTTAAATATTGGAGAGGAAAGTTGAGGGCAGCCTGAGCCAAACACCCAACTGCTGGTCAGCCTGTGGGGAACCAAGAGATACCAGGACAAGGGAAGGGTAGAGCCTTGTGCCAATGAGCATCACTTCTCCCAAAAAAACCTGAGCCCCTTTGTTCTGAACCACAGCCCTATAGGAGGGGAAGGTCAGGGGTAGGAGAAGAGGAGGGAGAAGGCAGTGCTGCGAGGAAGGAAGATTTCAGCTTCCTCCTACACATCCGCACAGCCCGTGAGCCATGCCCAGCATCCCACCGGGATGCACAGCAGCACTGCTATGCCCATCCCCTCAGCCAGCCTCCCTCTGTCCCTCCCTCAAGGGCCAGAAAGGGCGGGTGAGGGATGCGGGAAGGTCTGAGGACAAACAGGGATCTGCAGGCTCGGGGCCAGCATCACCCCGGGATGCTCATCAGGGAGGAAGAGATGCACTAAGAGCTCTTCCCCCTAGAGCAACGCTGATGCTTTCAGAGCAGCGAGGAGGGGGCAGCAGGCACACACCATCACACGAACCATGTCTGAGTCACAGCAGCCTCCAGACAGGGAGCCAGGGCCAGGATCCTTATCCTCAGGATGAGGCTATGGGTGCCAGGGACCCACGCAGGGTGCAGAGCCCAGGGCGATGCCTCCTGGGGGAGAAGCATCTCCCCGTTATCACAGTCTGTTATCCTGCTCCGTGCTGCCTCCGCCGGGAGCACAGAGAGCCTTTCACTGCCCACCTTCTCCTCCTCCTCCTCCCTAGTCCCAAACACAGCCCCTTTCTTCTGTTGGCTCTCGGCTCCGGGGATTCTCCTGGCCCCTCTCCAAACCCTGCGACACGGAGTGAGGTGACATTTAAACCCAGACACAGCTGCAGCAGAGGTGGCAGTGGCGGCGCCTTTGTTAAATCCTGAGGTTTCGTTTCCTAATTTTTCCAGCACACACACAGCCTCCGAGTGGGAACATCCCCCTACGAGCCTCGTGACAAGGTGTTAAAACGATTATATTTAGCCAGCAAGGAATCAATACCACAAACCTCCCTTCCAGTGTCACAACACCACGGCGTTGCCCACCGGGAAAAAATCCCGGTACTGCCAGTGGTGCACCCAGGAGACACCTGGGCTGCAGGTGCTAGCACAGACCAGGTGACAGCTGGCGACATTGGGTGGGCCGAGGCGAATGGGGCTTGTGACCACCATGGGAACACAGGATCAGTCACCAGACACTCCTCCCCTGCCTCCCTCGGGCACTGCTGCCTACTGGGACACCAGTTTTACCCCAGCGGCTCTGCAAGGAGAGTTCAGAAGGAGCTAATGGACAGCAAATTCCCACAGGAAAGGAAAGGACAATATTGATATCCAGTTGTTCTAGGTCCTTTGTCACGGTTTTAAAATGACTTAAGGTGCCAAGACTGGAAGAGTCCATGGCTGAGGAGGAATGAGGCATGGAGGGCTTCCCCCTCTTTTCCTGCCACCAAGGCCCAGCAGGACCTCCTGTCACATCCCACATGGTCACATGTGTCCAAACCATCCCCTCTGCCCAGGCCGGGGGCTCTTGTAGGGTCCAGAGCACTCATCTCCCTGGGGAGGGATCCTGCAGCCCCCAGGAGGGCACAGCATCCCAGGATGAAGCTGCATCCCTGCTCCTGTCACCACACACTCAGTACAGGAGATCCTGGGGAGAACCCTAGTGATCCCCAGTTTTTGCCTCACTCTCAAGCTCTGCCATCCCTCACCTCCCCTGGCTTCAAGAGACTTTTCTGAGGACCAATCCAGGTACCAAGAGGACCAGATCACAGCCAGGCTGGGGTGATGTGTCACCCTAAGGTGGCTCAAAGCCACTTGTGCCTCTGAAGAGCCCAATTTTTGCCTTCAAATAACCCGAAACAGGTGCCAAATTTTGGGACAGGTCCCCAGGGGGCACAGCCAAGGACAGGCCACAGCATACATCCCATTACTGCCTCAGGATGAGTTTGGGAACCACAGCAGAGGGCTGTCCCTGTTGCCTACTTTCCCCATCCCAGGCCATGCTACATCTAGGTTTTCCTCAGGTTCAGGAAAAGCCCCAGTTCACCTACAAACTGGCTTTAGCACCCCCCAGCACCCACCCTGTGCTCCCCCAATCCCCAAATCCTCCCCAAACCTGGCTCCAGTGCTGCCAACACCTCCTATACCAAATCCCAGTAAATCCCCAGCCCCACACCCCTGCTATGGGCCATTTTAGAGTTTTCCTGTCATTTTTTCCCTCTGCTTCTGTTTTGTTTGTGATCCTTTTTTCCCCTTCCCACCTGGAGCATCAGCATTTCCACCCCATTGCCTCAGAGCAGTTTCCAGCCGGGAGAACAGAGTAATGGCCTCATTATTTCCGATGAGGAATCCGTGTGTGCAATTAGGCAGAGAAGGGTAATTATCTACTTGTAGAAGATGAGGGAAGGGAGGTTGTTTCATCAGGGGGTGTTTTATCAGGGACCAGCACAGCTCCCAGCCAAGCCCACGGATGCTCCAGCTCCATGTGTGAGCACCAGCTGGGCCGAGGGAACATGGGGACCCCCTGGATAAATCCCTCATGCCTTTGTTGTGCTCCCAACCCTTCTTGGCCTGGTCTTCTCCAGCTTACACCCCCAAAGCTGCCTAAGGGCCTTGTGCCCTGAACCTACAGCCTCCTGAGTGTCCAGCTGCTCACTGACATCCCATTTAATGAGTAATTAACCTTTTTTCTTATTAATTAACCTAGCAGCACCCCTGGCATAGACAGAGAGGTTCTGGCTCACAGTACAAAATCCAAAAGTCATCTCCAAACACCTTTTGGTGCACAGACCCTTGGGGTGATTTTCTGCCCCCAAACCCTTGCATCAAGCCTTTTCTTTGATTTTTTTTTTCCTCAAATATATTTGTTATTCCTCTTTTTTTATTTACTCCATTCAGCATTTTTCCAACCAAATCCTTCCTTGGCTCTCTCATCTCAGCAGCAGCAGGATGAGGGTCTATCTCTGCATGGCCAAACTCTTCCCCAGCCTCCACCCAACCCCTCTCCATCACCTTGTGTCCAAAAAGGCTCAGCGCATCCTCAACTCCAGCCTTTATCCAGGTTTTAGGCACCCACTGGAAAATCCCAGTGCCAGGACCAGCAGTTCCCTGGAGTCCTGTCCTGATCAGCCAGATCCAGCCCCAGCGAGGTCCAGCTTTCCTGGGGAATCACCCACCTCTCTGCATCTCAAGACAGGGAAGGTGTTCCCCATGGCATGGGGCAATCCAAACCCATCATTGGGAAATGCTGCTGGAGTGCAGCCCTCGCCCAGCACTTCCCAGGCCATGATCCCCATCCAGTGCATCTTCCCATCTTTCTCCCCACCTCCTACAGACCCTATTTTCCCTCAAAGCCCAGTGCCCCTTGCTCCTGGCTTGCAGCCATTCAGCCCCACTGGGGCTTCCACAGCAAACCCTATGGCCTCCCCTTGGAGCATCCCAAGGGACCAACCGGGATGCAGGGATGTAGGGAGGAGGTGGGGAGAGCAGGGATAGGCACCTGCCAGGTTCAACACCTGCGAACACCCCACCACACAGCATCACTGTGCATCCTCCGTGCAGGAAAATCTCAGTTCACCATCACACCCTGTCACCCAGAGGGATCCCGAGCTGTGGTTTTCCCAGCCATCCATCCAGAGGGATGGCAATCCCACACCAATTCCACCCTGCCTAAGGCTGCCAGTCCTAACAGAGGACGGACTCAGCCATCCCCAACACCAGGATAACCATGAGAACACGGAACAGTGGCTCAGGGATAACTGTGGGGATATGAAGCAGCCCCTTGGATAATGGTGGGGATGGACAGAGAGCACGTCCTCGGGGACAACTGGGTGGACACAGAGAAGCCCCTCGGGATGACCACAGGGGCACAGAGCAGCCCCTCGGGGACAGGCATGGGGACACAGGGCAGACTCTGTGGCTGTCCCACACAGCAGGACCCCGCAGCCCCCTCGGGGGCGATGCTCAGTGCCTCATTTCCTGCCTCGCTTATTAGCATTATCCCAATTTCCCTTTACCACAAAGGCCCCAAAATGTGCAGGCTCATGCTGCTGCTCTGGGCCAAAACTTTGGGATTTCCAGCCTAGAGGCATCCCAGGACCGCTTCAATCCGCCTGGGAAAGCCTTTTCCTGCCTCAGTAAACACTAACTCCCATTTATTTCCCGTTATTTTAGACCAAAAGCCCCTGGGTGAGGTCAGTCCCACCGAGAATGCTGCGGCTCGAGTTTCACCCGGCAAATATTCCACATTGCTTTGTGGGCCCCCCCCAGCAGTCCATGGAGGTCTGCAAGGGGAAAACCAGGAGCAACTGGGCATGATGCCAAACCAGAGGACACCTGCCCTCCAGCTCAGCCCTGCGGAGCATCCCGGGACCCATCCCGGTGCCAGCCGAGTGCGGGAGGTAGGAAGGAGGATTGT